TTTTCAAATTTTCTTTTGGTGTCGCTCTGGGCATTCACACGGTCAAAAAGAGTCCAGCAACTCGAGTCTAGTTTTTCTGCATTCCTTTTCACAAAATGTTCGTAAATATTTGTGCGGTTCGACTGCGCAACACCGCGCAACACTGCATGCTGCGTATTTCATTTGTATGTTGAGATGATGGTCACACATTTTGCTTGCAATGAATTACCATGAATATGGTAGAACAATATGCATAATACAAGTACCTACCCGCTAAATAGTTTCAAAGAAATACTAAAGACGGGAATTCCCTAATCCACAAGAATGTATTGAATATCCGCAACTAATATTTTCAAGGCCAAATTTATAATAGGAATTTCCTAATCTTTAAGTATTAAAAACTCATAATTTCTTTACTCCGTATTAAAAATTCATAATTTCTTTACTCCATAATCTATATCTTAATTTTCTCCTTATTTACAATTTGTCATAATATTTCTATTATTCTATGCATACGTATTTGCATATTACATACAAAAATAGATAACAGAACTCAAATTTGCGATCGAATTCATTTGAAACCGAGCGCTCTTGCAACCATTCAAAGGATTTGAAAGTGAAAAGGAATGCTGAAAAGGGTAGCAGCGAGCTGTTACGAAAAAGAACACAAAGCGTGCCACCCGAACACGAGTGGCACGGTCCCTTCGTCTTTCCTCGTCGTCCCCTCGCCCACAATAAACTGGTATGAGACTCTTTTGCGTCCCTGTCTGAAACGGCACTAAGCTGATTTAAAAAAATTATATTATATTTATTTCTCAGAACTTTTCCAATGCATACTCTCTATTTCTTTATTTCTTTATTTATTAATGCTATTTATGTTTATTTTTATATATATATTTATGTACAAGAATTAGTGCAAAGTTCTACCGCATTCGTTTTTGTTGTGGTCAATATATGTCGCGTATGTCCACAATACATAAATACAAAGTCAGCCGACCTGCAAGTAGCGCTCTCTGATGCCAAAGCATTCACGTGCAAGCTTTGCGAGTACATTTTCGTTTTGGCAGTATCTTCATGTAGGCGCACAAGAGTGTGCGGTTGCCCAAAATTGATTATTGTTGCAATTGTAGCAATGGGGACAAATAAATAAATAATAGGCAATAAAAAATTAAATTTTGCACTCAAAAAAGTGTTTTGTGTTAAAAAAAAAAATTACATGCATATGGTACATAAATATGTATAGAGTATGCTGATTTTATATATATATGTACAAAAGTACGAGACAATAAAAAAGATTTAACTTTAGAGTATACCCATTGGATTGAGTCTACATACAGGAACAGCTGTGACTACCACTTCCCAGCCACCTTGTCAACACAAATCTGGTGTTCAATGATATTGGAGATATAAAATACATTTCACTTTTAGGTTACAAAGTTGGGTAATATAGCTTAACCCAATCCCAAATACCTAACTCAATTAATTAATTAAATAAAGTAATAAGCCGAAAAGTATTAAGAAACATTTTACACAAATTTGTTAAAAACAACGAAGAATTCATTATTTAATGATATGAAATGAGTGTTTCATACATTATTTCCTTTTTGCATAACAAAAACATGAACAAGAAATTCAAAAACATTTAAGAACACATAGCTCCTTAAGAGGCACACCCAGTAAGACGGCCGCTCTTTGGGAATAAAAAAAAATTATTGTATAACATTTTAAGGGTATACAAGTATTTATGTATATTTTAAGAATGTACAGAAAATTTTTTAAAGAAAAAAAATTAAAATTGTTAGAGTTACACTCGTTTACCGACGATACTTAAACAAAAAAATTAATTTTTTTATTTTTTTCGATCGTAGATCATGGTACGAACATTATTTTCCAAAGAGATTTGTTTTAGGTTTCAACCACGGAGAAGACCGGATACATTGCAGGAGAGGAGGACCTTGATAAAAAGGCAACGTTTAAAAAAAGTCGTATTTAAAAAAAAACTTTGGTCTTTTTTGATCAGATCAAAAAACTGGTCGGTCATTGTATGAAAAACTATGCAGAATATGCAGAAAAAATTTGATAGCAATCGGATTTGTCGTTGGGTAATCACATCAGCAAATTCGCTAAATGTAGTTTTGAGAAAAACGCGTTTAAAGATAAACTAATAGAGTTGAGCGGGAAGCCGTAACTAAAATTATATTATTCATTTAAAACTTCAGGGTGTTATTTTTAAAAGTATGACCTATCGTAAATAAATGAAATATTTTTTCAAAATTTTGCAATAGTGCCGGCGTCGTTTGAAAGAAATAACTTCTATATTTTGAATGAAGCCTTTGTTTTTAATTACTGCTGCCATCGTTTAAGCTTAGAATTTATTAGTATTGTTATTGGTATTGATTCTGATTCTGATTTTTGGAAACTGTTCAACTCCTGTTAATTTTTATAACGATTTTTCCTACTCTGAACTTGAAAATATGGTTTTCATTTTATGGGATTCTAATGAAAGATTGACCTCGTCAAATTGAAAGTCATACAAAATTCTCATTAACCAACCATATGTACATACAATATATGTATATAATTTGAAAAAAAACCTTGTTTGAATTCGTATTGTATATAAACACAAATTTTGGCTATATGTATAAAATGTTCCTTGATCTGATAAAACCAACGTTAATTTTTTTGTTCCAAATTTAAAATCCAAACATAAGTACACAAATCCAAACACAAGGCCACTAAAGAAAAAAGCGACAGGAAATAAAGCGCTCTCCAAACAGATGCTACGGAAATAGTTAATACTTGAAACTAACACGAAATGTGTTATTTACGTATTACTTGTATGTTGAAATAAAGTAATTTGAGTATACGAAGAATAATTTAAAATTTAAAATTATTTTTCCAGAATTATCAATCAATTCCCTGGTGGCATCCCCTTCATATACATATTAACATATACAAACGTACCTACTTCTTTCAATATCTGTTCGTTTCAAAAGAAAATCTTCCCAAAGTAAAAATTGTTTTAACTTTCGTTACCTGAGTTAGGAACATATTTCATCTTACATTTGCATACGTACATATGTATGTATATACTTCAATATTTGTACATATAAACTAAGATGTACCTTAAGAATATTTACAAAGCAACATAGTGTGTGTTTATGAGCGGATTACTCACCGCTAAAGGTTATTTGGTAGAATGTATGTATGTATTTACAATTATTACAAGGAAAATCATAGTGGGTGAAACCTAATAATACTAAAGGATTTAAAAGGAAGGTTCTCAAAATTCTGAAGGCACAAAAATAAATTAGTATTACTATAGCTGAACATACTTAAATAAAAAGTAATGGCGTTTCATTTTCTAAATGAGCAAAAATGCGAAATTCCAAATTCATATTTTTCAATGAAGACACATTTAAATTGTTTTCTTGAGCAAATAATAAAAAACATTTAAATAAATTTATTTTCCAAGAACTTTTAAACGTATGCGGGAAAAAGGGTCGCTCAATTTAATGTTATTGTTGTTGTGGCGAGTGCCTAAACTCTATTTGGGGGAAAGTCAAAAATAAAGTGTCATCGAAATCACTTAGCGGTAGGTCCAGGAAACGAGCTGTTTTATTGGGGTTGGACGACGGGAGAAGAGTGTTAAGTGATTAAGCTTAGCGGGGCAAGTAAAGAGGTGGTTAGTCTCATTTATATTCTTGATAAGTAGGAGTTTAACTTGCTACAGTATCCAAACGAAAATTCGCTATGGTTGCTTTAGTTTAACGCGACAACTCGAGCTCACGGTGTGCGATTGATAGTGTTTCATCTCCAAGGACACTATTCACTGGAAGGGATTTGATGAAGGTGTTGTTGGCGCCTTTGTGAATGGCGTTCAGAACGTGTCAAAAGTTAGTCGCGTCCGAAAACGTATCGGTATATTGTTGGAGGATCTCGACGTATTGTAGGAATATTCTCTTGATGTTCCTAGGAGGCGGAAACTGCTTGGAGAGGAGTCCATTATGTTACTCAACTGTAAGCATGCGGTATGCGCTGTTAGGACTTTTATGTATTTCTTCAACTGCGTCCTGCTGCATCCAGGCATCTATGGCATAATAGGGCAGCGTAATTTATTGCGGCAAAATATAAAATGTGTTTATAAAATATAGATAATAATTTAATTTACGGATAAAGAGAAATTTTTTCATTGGGAAAATACTATACCATGGTGGTCGCAGTTTTATATTTTTTATAGTTAAAAAAATCAAAATTCTTTTGTTTACAATTTGATTTCTCAAACTCACAATTTTATCTCGCTCACAATATCAGTTTGTATGGCAGCTATATGCTATAATGATCCGATCTAAACAATTTCTTCGGAGATTACATTGTTGCTTTAGAAAATAACTCATACTAAATTTCGTGAAGATACCTTGCCAAATGAAAAAGTTTCCCATACAAGTACTTGATTCCGATTGTTCAGTTTGTATGGCAGCTATATGCTATAGTGGTCCGATATCGGCCGTTCTGACAAATGTGCAGCTTCGCAGCTTAGTGATAAAAGGACAGGTGCAAAATTTGAGATCGATAGCTTAAAAACTGTGGGACTAGTTTATATATATACAGACAGATGGACAAACAGACGGACATGTCTAAATAAACTCAGCTCATCATGCTGATCATTTACGTATATATTTTATAGGGTCTCCGATGTTTCCTTTTGGGTGCTACAAACGTCGTGGCAAACTTAATATATCCCCTGTTCAGGGTATACTTTTGTATATGTCATATGCATGATGTTATATGCAACATAGATTTTGCGATATTTATGTACCATATACATATGTATGTTTGCTCATCAAATCATCAAGTGAAAATCGTGGTATAGAGCTTTAAAACACCTAAATATTAAAAATAATGAAATCTTTTTGAAAGAAGTTCGGAATTATACAACAAAATGTTTAATGAAAAATATATTTCATATAGTTATATCAACAGTTACGCTATGCAACCCTATAGCTGTGTTTCACTGTCTCTATTTTGACGTTTACTCGTTCTGTTTATAAATTTTGACAGCTGACAGTTGTGTCGTTTCCGTTTATTCTCTCTTCTTTTCTTTTTTTCTTTCTTTGACAACCAAGAATCGTCAAGATGGTACGTTTGCGGAAAATCCAAATAAATTTCTTTATAAAAATCGCGGTGCATCGCAAAAATATTCATACATAATGTGAAAATTAGTGATTTAAATTACTCTTTAAATAAATACCAATATGATTGCATGAATATATTTACGATGCTGTGTTACTGTGCGCAATTTTTCGTTGCAATGTTGCTGAGAGAATTGTATTGAAGTGTGCTAATAATAAAATTTTATTTGACTTTTAGGTGAATGTGCCGAAACAGCGACGCACCTTTTGCAAGAAGTGCAAGTGCCACAAGCCACACAAGGTGACACAATACAAGAAGTCGAAGGAGCGTAAAGGTGCTCAGGGCAGACGTCGTTACGACAGAAAACAACAAGGTTTCGGTGGTCAAACCAAGCCTATCTTCAGAAAGAAGGTACGAATTGAAAGCGATACGTTGCTATTTATTTGCATATTTGTAGAACTAAATTGCCGTTGAATCGCAGAAGTGATACTATAAGGCTCTTTGGTGGGATAGATGTGTGCAATAATATTGCTGAATGCTGAAAACTTTACAAACTGCAATTGTATACTGCTGTCAACTGCTAAGTTGGAACATTCATACAAAACTATACATTTCATCAATTGTGTATATAAATTTATGATGACTTTACGACGGTAACTAATAATTATATTTAATTTCCTATTTCAGGCTAAGACCACTAAAAAGATTGTGTTGCGTATGGAGTGCACCGAATGCAAGTACCGCAAGCAGACACCACTGAAGCGTTGCAAACATTTCGAGTTGGGAGGTGACAAAAAGAGGAAGGGACAGATGATTCAGTTCTAAATCACTCGCCCCCAATTCCAAGCCACTATCTGCTTTTTTGTTTCGCTGTTTTTTACCAATATAAGATTTGTATACGGAATGCCTTGTGGAAAGGCATTTTTAACAAGTCATTTGTGAAAAAATATAATTTAAAACAATGTTCTTTAGTTAAACATTGAAGTAAAAAAAAAATCAAACAAAATTCCAGTTCGTCTTTTATTTTATCCTATGTTATTTTTATGGGTTCCTTATACATTTTTCATAATATCACATAAATGTTAGATGTATGCAGTTCGTCCAAAGATTTCACGTTTGCTTGCCACAACCGCCTTGAAAATCGGTATTTGTGTATGCTTTTTTCGAAATATGCACTCAAACTGCTTTCACTCGGTTACACCGTCTGTTAATAACAAATTGGGATTGCTGTAAGAAATCAAAAATTGTATTATTAAATTTATTTATCATCGTTAGCTACAACTCACTCCAATATGCTTGGTTCAACCCCTTCTGCTTGCATTTTAATTTTAACGGCTTCAGCCGGCACACCGAATTGCACCATTTTGAAGAACTTTTTAAAGCGCATATCTTCACAAGCGCGTACACCTGTTGGTTCCGGAGTTATATCCTCCGTTGGCTCAGGAATATCCGAGGCGATATCAGTGGTAATCTCTCCTCCGGGTGGTTTATTTTCAGTCTTTTCTGCGGCATCATTTGTAACTTTTTCTGTTGCAGTATTGCTGGCAGTTGGAGCTGTTGTGGTGTCCGTTACATCTGGCACAGATGCTAACTGCGTTGCGATATTTATTTAGATATGTAATATCGACTTCTAATAATGTTAACGTACCTTTGCTTCTATTATTGTTAATGCTGCTTCCACTTTTTGCATTTTTCTTTCCAAGTCTACAAATTTACTTTCGCATTTCAAGGCGAAGTCATTGAGGAAATTGCAGGAATTTATTATAAAATGATTAATAAATGCTAAAACGCGTTTTTGATGCAATGGTGGCATTTGCGATTTATCCACAGCTTGAGATAGGATTTCGGTATCCATTGTAGATAAGCTTTAATATGTAATTAATTTTAAAATAATAATTTATGTAAAACTGCACTTGTTATTTATCACACATGTGTATTTTGTTAATTTTGCTGAATGAATTTTATGTACATGAACTCATTTAAATTTATATTTTCTTTTTTCGTAAGCAATATAAACGCAACTTTTATAAATTTGTTTAATTTAATAACACTTGCATTTATAAATGCATTTTTACCAAACAGCTGTTTCTGTTATTGCCACTTTATTCGATGAGCTAAATGTTGTAAAGGTTGAATTAAAAAAATAGTACCATATATCGTTTTTGCTCGCAGATATAAGCTATAAAGCGAAGCAAATCTTTTCTAAACCAAAAAATGTTTGAACAGCAACAAATAAAACATGTTAATAAGTATATTTACATATTTGAAAAATAAACCGACCTAAAAAATAATAGCGCTGCCACATTTTTGTTGAAGTAATGCAGCGCCATTTGTTGTCATAATATAATATGCAAGTTTGGCGGATACTTTTGTTAAAGCGGAAACAAAAAATATTCAATACAATTCTTGCAAAGTAATGCTACAGCCACTAACTTAATTAAAAGCAAAAAGTGCCAAGGAATTATTAGCAGATAAAAAAAAATTTATTTAAATCATTGCGTCATTTACAACTAATTTATATGTTTTGTTTTCGATTGATAAGCAGCATAAAGCACCTGCAACTTTATGAAGCGCTTTTTTTTAGCACAAATACATATACGAGTATATAAACAACATTTTGCTTCAGTAAAATTAGCCACGTTGCCAACTTGACGTGGTTTTGTAATACGATAAGAGAAAAGTGAAACCAGATTTGAAAATTCAATTCACCTAGTTACTTACATTTACGCACACATTTATACGTATATGCATTAAAGTAAACAACCCTCCGTTACATTTAAAATCACACGTCAACTCAGTTGTTTTCTTCCCTTGACAGTAGAGAACTTCAACTACTAACAGCGTGTCACCGCTAATCTGCAAATAATCCAATAACAACGGCAGATTAACACTAATGTTGAAAGCTACCTACTAACGCAAGAGTAAACAATTACGTTTTAGCAATTTATTTGTTTCACATTTGGTGCCAAGTGTCTTTTGTGGCGGTTTTATTTTTATTTTTTGTTAAACGCACTTCTAATCGCCGAGAAGTTGGAGGGGATGAGGTGGGGGTGTGAAATTAATTTAATGGAGGCGTGTGTTCGCTTTTGAGCGATTTGTGGTATATGAAAATAAAATTTCAGAATGTATGGATAAAAATAATAAATAATAACATAACCTCTCAGCCACTATATGCACTGGTCTTAATAAGTACCTTACTAGACTGACACATCTAATTTGAGGTGATAAAATATTATGTATATTAGCAATACTTTATCTTTTTATTTTATATATTTAATTATCTGTAAAATCATTCGCTTAAGATGACGTACATATGTAAGCGTAGCAGGGCTGCAAATCATGCATTAAAAAATATTTGAATTGACATTTAAATTAATTTCTTTATTTTGTAATTCCGAAATTTAAATAAAAACAATTTTAGAATTTTAAAATTTATTTTCCCTAATACCCGGCTAAAAATTATACCTAAATTTTTAATTCAAAAATTGAATTAAAAATAAAAAAACTGCTAATCCCAAGTTTATAACAAATTTAAATATAAAAAAAATTGTGTTTCTCAATATTAAGTCAATTCTCGTTTTGAAAAGGAAAGCTTATTTTTAATAAAATATCAACATAGTTTAGCATTTTCTGTCTTTTTTACATTTAATTATAGTTTTTCATTTAGAATCAAAAATTAAACTTTAAATTTTCTTTTTAAAGAATAAAAATTATGATTTTTATTTCGATTTGGGATTAAAAATTAAAAGTTTAATTTTGGATCGAAAATGTTTTAATTAGGAAAACCCTTTGATGGGTAGTATGTATCCATATATACATCTAAGAAAAAAATTTATATAGAAAAAAAATATAATAGCAAAATAATATTAAAAAAAATGCTAATCAAGAAAATTTGAAAAATCTCGAGTTCGCATGTTTAGTAACATACACCTTTGCCCCAAGAGGCTGCACTCATTTCGTACCGCTGATAAGTAAGTATTTACCAGGACAAACTGCATATTAGTGCTACATCTGTGTGTACATATGTACCATACATATGTACATAATGTACATACTTGTGTTGATAAACTGATTAATGACGAAAAATCAACTGATAAGCCAACAAATTATGCATCCTTAAGTTTTCGCCTTCTAGCAAACATTATGAGCATAGGCAACTTATCAAAAAAAGATTATATTAAGTATATTCTAAGTGCACATGCACTCAATTTTTATCAGGAAAATGTAGAAATATTTGTATTTACGAATATTTTACAGCAAATTTTTTCAATATTAAGCAATAATTTTTTATTTATTTATTAACAATTATCTGATTATTATTAAGCAAAGTTTCACGTTCCCTTAATTAATAAATATATTTTCCAACCATTGAAAATGTTTGTATTTTTGAATTGGAATCTATGCACAAGAAGTTCACTAATCAAAAACAGACCGGTTTGATTGTTGGTTCTCATCGAGTATACATGCCTGTTAAAAATAGTAGCGCTTATCACTTGCCTCCAAAGCCTCTAAGAAAATACTAGATATGTATATATATACATATAGATTGCCAATTGTTTTCTGACTTGACTTGGGAGAATTATTCGACAAAAAGTGACATTTATTTGACTTATGAAATGTTTATGGATAGTTTACAAATGTGTACGAATAGTGAAAAATCACAACAGGAAAAAATATACACATATATCTATACATATATGCACAAATAAAAACATGTATACATACATACATCATACAAACAAACTTGTCGATTGAGGAAAAATAAATTCATAATATAATATTTCGGGTATATATACATATATATATGTACAAATATAATATATATACAGGTTGGTTGGAAAGTTTCTGCGCACGAAATGAAAATATAATACTGTTTTTGGTACGAAATATATTTTTTTATACAATATAATCTCCCTTAACTCAATACACTTATTCCAATGATCCTCCAATAATTTTATGTCATCTCTATAATGACTTTCCGGAAGCTCTGCAAAATACCCGCCTACAGCTGTCATAGCTTCTTCATTCGACGAAAACGCTTTCCACGAAGGAATTGTTTCAGGTTTCTGAAGAAATAGTAGTCGCTGTGCGCCAAATCTGGTGTATACGGTGGATGCTCAAGCAATTCGTACTTTTATTCGTTGAATTTTGTCATTGTTAAAACACCTTTGTGAGCAAATTGTCTTGATCAATAATGTTTTTTTTTTTTGTGCTACAAACCAGGTCTTTTATCACGAAATTTTTCATCCAGCTGATCCAAAAAGACAGCAATAATATTTAGAGTTGATTGTTTTACCTTTCTGCAAACAATCATTCAACAAAATTCCTTTTGCATCCTAAAAAACTGACGCCATAAACTTCTGATCGTTGTGACTTCTTGATTGTTGGTGTTCTTGTTTCAATTTGGGATCATGGTGGTAGATCCAAGTCTCATCCATAGTTATAAAATGACGGAAGAAATCGGTTTTATTTTGCCTAAACGCTCCAAATTATGCTGAGAAATTTGTTTTCGATCCAGTTTTTTGTTGAATTGTTAACGTGTGCTGCACTAACTTTCCAAACAGCTTTTTCATATGTAATTCTCCATGTAAAATATGAAGTACTCGTTCGTCTGAGAGGCCTATGGCATTAGCAATTTCACGCTTAGTCCAGCTTGGACTTCTTCACTAACAGTATTATGAACTTGCTCAATGATTTTTGGTGTGGTTGCGGTTTTTGGTCGTCTTCGCGTGTATCGTCTTCAAGCCTAGTACAACCACGTTTAAATTCACTAACCAAAAATTCAACGGTGCGTTTTGAAGGGGAGGACTCCTTATACACTTCCAACAATTGTTCATAAATTTCCTTTGCTTTTAAACCTTTCAAAACAAAGAATCAAATCACTGCACTGATAATTAATTTTTTCCATATCAAACAAATTTTCTGAAACGTCAACTTCAAATGGCTTGTAAACAAAGATTTAATGGACAGAAGGATTTGCAACTTTGCATGTGTTCTCCCAACAGATGTATCAACTTCTTAGTGAGTGCAGAAACTCTTCAACCAATTTGTGTATTATATATTATATATTTGGATAAAAATATTATTTAACATCTATCAGATTTATATATCCTTCGCAAATATAAATATTTAAAGTGAATCAGAAAATATTGAAAAAACGTGAACTTTGACTGCACCAAAGTTATAATAACCTACACAGATGCCACTATTCTAACTTAAAAGGGTATATGAAAATCTTTATCTTGATTTTAAGCGGTCAGTTTGTATGGCAACTATATGATAAAGTGGTCCGATCTGGACATTTTAATAATTACTACATATATAATGTTATAAATTATCTTTCTTCGGGGTATAATTAGTAATAACCACTGGCGCAGATGTTTGGCGTTGGTAACAATGTTTTTGCTTTATAATAATTCCTTGCTTTTGTTTAATTATATTATCGTTTGAAAACGCATTTACATTATTTAATGTTTACATTTACAAACCTTACATTTTAATTTTTTTCTAAAATCTGGCAACTTGACAGCTACTCTATTTTTATAACAATATAGTTATATCAGAAATAAAATTGATCACAAAGTTTATATATAATTTGTATAATATTTTGTGAAGAAATATAAATAGTTCAAGGTAAAGTTTCATTGATCGACTGATTTGAGAAGAAAAAAACTGTAAATAATATCGACTTTCTTTGTATTTTTAGTAAATAATAATTTTTGCAAAATTTTAATTGGACAAAACCGATAGAATTTTCTAAATTTATATAATTCTTCGGTAAATTAGAGAGCGAAATAATACGTTATTTTATATTAGACAAGAATAAGAATACCATAATAGCCGAAACCTGCAAGCTTATAAGATCTTATATAATTAATTTTGATCAAAATCTTATTTTATGTCAATAAAAAATATTTATTTGGCGGGTAGGTAGGTAGTACCGTAAAGAACTATGGGCTGATCGTTCCATGACATTTGATTTTACTTAATCGTATTGGAACAGTGTTTTTATCCAGTCAGTTGATAATCTCGGCAGCATTTTCCAAAAATATTTGAATACAAGCAATCAGCAGGACCTTGATCCGATCTCTGCTACCGACCTACATTCTAGGACAAGCTTACGATTGTATTTCAGCTATGAAAAAGCTTCGTTTAATAGAAAATATGTCAGCTTTTCGGTAGCGGTTTATAATTTGTAAGACCGTATAATTTTCAAATACTTGTATAAAAGGTAAGATAAGTACTGCCTATTTTAATACACTTCGAAATATATAATTTTTACATGATGAAAAACATGTTAGCGAAAATTAAACTCCCTAGGTGGCAATGCCAGTAATGTACGTGTTTATTGATTTTTTTTTATAATATTCGCATATTTCTCAATCACATTCAATTATGACTAATGATCAATGGAGTTTGGCTCGCTCAACTGAATAGATAATTTTGACGCGTTGCTGTAGACGTAGACGTAGACTTTATAAGAACGTCACGTGACGTCATTGAAACGTTCATAACTAAAGAAAGAGACTTCTGAGAAGTCTTTTTCCAATTTTGTAAGATCAACTAGGTAGTAAAAGATGAAATGATGAAGCTTTCACCATTTCAATACATAATACGAGGAAAAGCGAAGACTAGGCTATACAATCTAGAATGTAACACCGAAATTCCGAAATTTTGAGGTTTAAATGTTACTAACCTGTTCTTTTTAGGTATCGCAAAAAGTCAGCCAGCATGAATTTACAATAAAAAACTTTTTCATATAAAATATTTATATGTTATTACTGTTCTTGAAAAACAAAAATTAAAAAGAATTGCGTTATACCCTACCAGACCCAATTGCATCTAACCTAATTTTTGGATAAATCTAAATATGAATGAAAACAAGAACTAACACTTTTCATAGTTGCATTTTTTATTTCATAAAGGGTATAAAAAAAAGATCTTTATCTCGATTTTGATCGGTCAGTTTGAAACTAAACCAATCTTAACAATTTGTTTGGAGATTGTAGCAGTGCCTTTGACAATAATCTGTACCAAATTTCGTGAAAATACCTTGTCAAAAAAAAAAGTTTTCCATATAAGGACTTGAGTTTGATCGGTCAGTTTGTATGGCAGCTATAAGTCACAGTTGTCCAATATCGACAATTCCCACAAATTAGAAGAAAAGGACGCGTTCAAAATTTCAGATCGATATCTCTTAAACTGAGGCGCTAGTTCGCGTATATACAGACATATTGATATAACTAAATCGACACAGCTCATTACGCTGATCATTTATACCATATACATATACTATACATATACCTTATAGGGTCTCCAACGTTTCCTTCTGGATGTTGCAAACTTCGTGACAAACTTAATATACCATATTCAGGGCATAAAAATGTCACCAGCACAAATTGTTCACTGGGTTATGCTCACTACTTAAAGTCTATTAAAAAAGCGCCACCGCAAAGAATGATTTCTGTGCATTTACACTATGCAACTACAACTATTAATACGCAAGCATGCCTTTGTATGCACATACCAACAAACAATTATATTTTCCAATTCATAGTAAAATAATTCAAAATCCGATTCCGATTGCCGTCGTAATGATGATAGTGGCAGCAACGATGACTATAGCAACGGTGGCGGCTACGGCGACGACGACAACAATGACAAAAGTCACAGCAACGCTCCCGAACGCTAGCGCCCAGAGTAAACACAAAGGCAAAGCAACAGGCAGCCGTGACAGTCGTTATCAAGCGTTTAACGCGTAAAGAACATATGTTTCGTTAATACGGCGAAGATTTACGAAATTGTGAAAATATCAAACTCACACATACTATAAGTTACGGAAGTGAAAAGTCCTGTAAAATTCGTTCGTGAAACGTGAGTCGGTATTTTGGAAAATTATTTTGATAATCAGGATGCGTTTCGGAGCTTAAGTGCAGGTAGTCATAACACTCGTGTATATGCTTTATCTTGAGAACCGTGATAACCGTAACGACGCGCCCGAAAGACATTCGCGCAATCAACTGCCATTGATAAGAAAGTCAAAGTTCGTTGTTCAGAAAACTTTTTGATTACGAATATTCGAAATAAATTTTGTACGTTTACGAAATTCACCGTTATTTTTCTACATATGTATGTGTAAATAAATAAGTGTGCTAAATATTTTAAAAAGTGTTTTAAATGAAAAGTGTGTATGAAATTTAATAACAAAACATCTGTTACTGCCTGCACTGTATGATAGTATATATTTAGATATATATAGATTGGATCTCATTTTACGATTCGCGTCTGTATTGCATTTCCTTTCAAGAATTTTGAAGAATTGAAATTTCATTGTGAGTACTAGAAGTTAAGTGTAAGTGTAGAAATTTTCCATAGTTAAATCACGATCGAAATTGTTTATAATGCAATTATAATATGCATTAATGGTTTCTACGATTACATACAAATTAAAATACTGTAAATGCATCAAAGTGGTTGAGTAAACTTTCCGCTTATAAATGACATAATATAATTTCTTTTATATCCTGTATATTTTTAAGGAATTCCGCTGTTGCGAGCACAAAGAAATAACAGTTTTTGCCGACTGTCCTCCCCGTTTTTATTGACTAACCGCCATTCGATGGTTTAAGAGTTTGAAATCCAGCTAATATACAAAATATAACAAATATACTGTTATTGGAGGTTCATAGTTGTAAAGTTCGACTTTGACAGAATCAAATAAGACAAAAGTATTATGTTCCTTGGCAGAATATCGTTTACTACGATTTTACTTTTGTTTAGGTCGATCAGAAACTGTCCTGGGGCTTGAGATTCGCTACATATCGGCCATGCTGCTACTTCAAATAGTGTAAACCCAATCTTAATTGATTTTCGAGCTTGATTGATTCTTCTTATATCTGAAAAATTGGTCGTTAATAACTTATCGTTAAAAACAATACAGCAAAATAAGTGACGGTACCAAAAATTGGACGTTTTTGCAAAATCTGAAACGATGACTATTTTATTCTAATTTTTTTATTTATAACCATCTTCCATAACATCCTTTAAGTCATTTTTTTTAATATTTCATTTCATTTATGATTTGTCTTATTATAACGACAATAAAGAAATTGGTTGACAAAAACAATGATGTTGGCGTAAATGACAGTAATGTTACATAAATAAAGATCTAGAAGAGTAATTTTCAAAGTGTGGGAATCTCGAAAATAGAGGTCTAATGGGTGGTATCTCTTTAGTCTTCTACACTGTTGACTATTGTTCTGCAGTTAGGTTGCAAGTCCATGGTCACAGATCTCTAAGCGACAGAGGTAACGACTACTAAATTCTTTAATAGATTCCTTCTTACTTTGCGAATCTTTGGCTTCCGATAGAGGCAGTTTTCCACATAGGACTACTACTTTTCTGAAAGACTTGAATAATATATACCGTGAATTTTGTATATTAAGTTTGCCACGAAGTTTGTATCACCCAGAAAAAAACGTCGGAGACCCTATAAATATATATATCTGTATATTCGCGAACTAGTCCCTCAGTTTTACAGCTATCGTTCTAAAACCACCAATATAGAACTTCTTCAGCATATAGCTGCTTCTTTTATGGGAAAATTTTCTATTTGACAAGATATCTCCACGAAATATGGCATAGAATTTTGTCCAAGACAACGCTACAACCGAATAAGTTTTTGAGATCAGACCCGTATAGTATAAAGCTGCCACACAACTGAACAAATCTTTGTTTGGAAAACTATTTTTATTGGACGAGATATCTTCACGAAATTTGACTATTGGCCCTAAGTTTTGTGCTATCGTTCTGAAATTTTGCGCCAGTCCTTTCTCTCTAAGAAGCTGCTCACTCGTCGAAATTCGACACACGATATTGTTGTAGGCAAAGCTATAATCTCCGCTGTCATACAAACTGACCTATTAAAATCGAGTTCATGTATAGAATTTGTGAAGGGTATTCTAGCTTCAGTAAAGCCGAAAAAACTTAAAGTTGAAAAGAACTATTTCTAAAATTTTATAAAAAAATATGGAGCTTTTTGGTTGCTATAAATGAGTTTTGATTGCAATTTGCCTTTGGGCGTGGGAAAAACGCATTTGGGATTAACCCATTTTCAAAGTTGCCAACTTCCTTGTGATCTAACAAACTTTTAATACAAGTATTATATAAAAAACTTGCAGGATTTTTTCAAATTGTTATACCACTCGGTTGTGAAAAATATTAGTACAATCGCTGGGTGATTCCTCACAAAGATTTACATCGGCAATATAATGATTTGTTTTCACTCACTTACCTATATATGTATGTTACCCCCACCCTAGTGCATTTCCGCATACTTGATTTTATAGTCATATATTTGTAAATTGATTTTGCCGATAATAAATAATATTTACACAACGCCGTTACCTGCTCGTCAGCCGTCAGAAATTAAATAGTTTACTTTATTAAAGCTCGAACGTGTGCAATTAAAAAAATATACAAATGAGTTATATAACAAAAAAAGAAGGGGCTTAGTTCGGGTGCAATCGAATGTTATATACGCTCGCAATTTAAAGATATTAAAAATGTATTAAATATTTTTAGGTTTCTGAAAAACTGCATTAAAATACTTGATTCATATGTATATATTCAATATTTGTTGCTGGAAGAAATTTTTTAACCGAATTCATTTTAGTTTCCTGACCAACAGAGACCCTGCTGAATATCCGAAGCTATTTTAAGCCAATTTAATTAACACAAATTAGTATATTCATTATTACTGTACTAGCCAAACCTTCTCAACTCGAATCATATTAGAACGATATCTCGAACTATGCTATATACCATACAACCAATAGAAGATTTGAAAATCATTATATGCGACCACTGGAATATATTTCAACTGATTTCATTATTTACAACAAAGCAAATTGACTCGAAAACTATGCTCACTTAATGTCATTAAGATCTTTCTGCTATTGACTGACATATAGGATGGAAAAGACGGAGTTCCACATATTCTGTATTTTTGGTCTAAAGGGAAAGGGAAAGTAAAAAGCGTATGCGAACATTTTTATATCGTAGTTGTTCGGTGGCTCAAGTTTTGCTAAGCCCATATTTTATATTATAAGGTAAAGTCTACCCAAAGTATTTAAAATGACTTTATATCAGAGTGGGCGTGGGGAATGTCCGATTACGTCTAATTTTAAACTTACAGCTGATTCCACAATCTCTTTGTCTAGTAAACTTGATCGTTTTAATGTACGTAAGTATACCCTATACGCATAGTTTTTGGTGCTACAAATAACTGTTTGTTGAACAAAGTTGTTATGCGCTTTGCAACATGTTGCGTGCGTATAAAATGGTTAATTTATTCGATAAATCTCTTCAGAATTTCACATAGTAATATAGGAATAATTTTTATATGACGACATTCTGAGCCATCAGCTGATGACAGTTCTAATTGTGAATTAATCATATAAAGTATAAAGTATAAATGAGTATAAGTCCTTTAGATCATAAATGACCAATATGTGTAGAATCTTTGTTCAAACAAGCTTTTTATTTCGCACTTCAGTAGCTTTCTTCAGGCTTCATTATTTAGAACAATAATTACTGCCCTTTAATATGAGTCCAAATACAAAGTAAATAAATATATAATAACAACAATAAAATAAAACTGCAGACACTTTTTTGAAATGTACTCAAAAAGCTACATATTCATTTAAGTATGTACTTGTACAGTATTAAATATGATGAGGCATTTAAGCAGAATTTGTTTACTCTCCATTTGTAATAGTTTTGTCTGTGATTCACAAACAGGAAAACTGAAACAGTCAAGAAAACAAATAAAAGCAGAATTTGAGTCCAGGCTTTTATTATACCAAACCTACACCGCTGACAAAAAAAAAAATGAAGGAGCATTTTTGCAAATAAATCGGTAAAATGTAAATAAATTCAAACAAGTGTAAACACATGTGTATTATTTGTTGGTTTATTGTTTCATTTGTCGACGAGAACTACAGTCATTTGTTAATCTTGCGCGTCTGTTTATTTGGAATGCAATTATTTTTGTCAGTAAGTGCATAACGTTGCCGCCTCTTTAAGCTCTCGATGCAGATAGAGACCCAGTGAGAAATTAACATGGAATTTATGAAAAATATGCTTAAAACTAGTATTGTAGTGGCTAGACAATAGCTGGTTGCCAAAAAAACTGCTTTACAGCTTTTATTCAAAAATATTATATGATATATTATATGGGAGAGATTCCTACAGTTTTGAAGCTATCAGCTAAATAGTGATGGATTTCTAAGTAATCAATAAAGTCAATTTAGTCTAAAATTAGTAAACCTGACATATTCTACACTTAAAAACTTTTTATTTCGAATATGTTTCAACTCAGTTCAGCCAGATTTCGATTTTCCAAACGTCAAAAAACTGCTCATTAATCAGATATAAAGTTTAGTAAAAAGAAATCTGTTATTTTTTACATTAAATCGAAGGTAGCGTAGTTAAAATTATCCGATTTAGGTCAAATATGCACCAATTCTTCGATAACTTGCTGCCATTATTAAGATAATTTCATAATACCACTTTCATAGAAAACCTGGTCTCAATAGGCAAAAAACTGGGACAGTGGAATTTCACAAGCTTCTCCTGGGGCGAGTTTTTCAAGAGCAAAATCATTCCTCATAGGCAGGAACAGGTAGTAAACACTTAGTGCCTGGTCCGGACCATAAAATTAATACATAAGAACACCCCAAACAAGCTCCAGGCGCTTCTGGCGAGCCACTATATATGTGTGTGGCCAGACGTAACCCTGATGGAACACACTTCCTCTTCTATTGATCGCTTTTGGGTGAACTCTTCCTTCAGACAGTCAAATTGTTGACAGTACAGAACCAAATTAAATTTGGCCATAGAGGAGCAGCTCATAGTAGTTAATTCCCTGCCAATCTCTCCAAACATATAGCAAAATCTGTTTGTCTTCAATTCTAGCTTGGGGGACATTTGATCCACTTTTCATCACCACTAACCATCTGCTTCAGATATCGATCGAGTTGCTAATAATATTTTGCTAATATCAGTGACTACTGGAAACTACAGCAGGGTATACGACGAATAATGATAGATCCCACTTTATTTACTTCTTTCGTTCTTGACACATTAGGCTCTTGAATATATTTACAGACATATCTACATATACATACCTACATATATATATACATATATGTACATTAATAGCTATACTTTATTAATGGAAAAACGTGTCATTCTATCGCTACATTTACTGGAAACTATCTGTAATCAGCCAAGATATGACGTTTAATAGTCTAATGTTGACAACAATAAA